TTGAAATTATTTTTACTGAAATGAACTTATTTTTACTGACCTGAAATTATTTTTACTGAATTAAACTTATTTTTACTGAACTGAAATTATGTGTACTTAATATTATTTTATTTAAGGTGAAGTGAACATGAAATCTTCTTTTTCTCTCGCCTCTTCCTCTCTCCCTCTCTAAAAAAAACCCTTAAAAAACACCGAGCCACAAACATATAAACATGAACTTTAGTTTGGATGGAGCAAAAAGAGTTCTGGACATTAAGTCAAATGACAACATGGTTTGCTCTCCCTTGTCCATTTGCATTGTTCTCAACACCTTGGTTTCTGGCGCCAAAGACAAAACATTGGAGCAACTACTTGGCCTACTTGATTATCAAAAATTAGAAGAAGCGAATGCAGTTGCCTCTAAATGGGTGTCGGTTTCAAGATCAAATGTCAATGGCGATGGACCAATTGTAGTTTCAGCTAACGGTGTGTGGTTTGATAAGATATACTCTTAATCCTTCCTTCAAAGAACTCCTTGAAAATGTTTACAAAGCACGGGTGAAGGAAGTTGATTTTCTTAACAAGGTAATTAAATGCATCATCCACAACCCTCTCTCTTAGAGCATGTTTGATTAGTGTATTTTTTAGGTTGAAAACGGATTCGGTTAAACCATTACCTTTATCCATTGTTTGGTTAAGAGATTTGGTAACCATTACCTTTACCTAAGGATAAGGGATTCCACTCATTTGTTACCACTCTAAAACCTAATGTAACAAATACCCTAACCTCCTCAAACACAAATTGATTCATTTCCATAGTTAAACCAAACAAATGAAAAGGTAATAGTTACATGATTCTTTTCCCCCCTTTTATTTGTTTCAATTCATTTCCACTTTATTTCCATTGTTCTAATCAAACCCCCCCTTATTTTCACTTATTTTCATTACTCACATTTTTGGTCAAATTTTGCACCTAAATTAGAACGAAGAAAGTACTTCTTAGGCCCCGTTCACTTAATCTTATTTTTGCTAAACTAAAACTATTTTTACTTAACTGAAATTATTTTTGCTGAAATTAAATTATTTTTACTGAATTGAAATTATTTTTGTTGAACTGAAATTAATTTAACTAAGCTAAAATTGTTTTTTGTTGAGCTGAAATTATTTTGACTGGTTTTATATTTCTTCTTTAAAGATATTGAATATTACTGAACTGAACTTATTTGGGATTTGTTAAACATCGCCCACAAATCTCTACATAAGCCCACAATTTTACTTTGACTCTTTTGCCCTTTTTCTAATTTTTACCGAAAACGTAATTATCACTCACGAAAAATGTGGAGCAAGAGTGGATCGCCGAGAGACACCGGAGAGCCGTCATTGTCGCCGAAAAGCAAGGTAATTGGGGAAAAATTACGAAAAGTAGGGGTGGCGTCTGGCCGGGACGCCGCCACCGTGCGGTGGCGTCTGGCCGGAACGCCGTTACCGTGGCAGTGGCGTCAGGCCGGGACGCCACTACCATGGTGGCGGCGTCCTGGCCAGGCGCCACCGCCACGGTTGCGGCGTCCCGGCTAGACGCCACCGCCACGGTGGTGGCATCCCGGCCAGACACCACTTCTACTTTTCATAATTTTTTTTTTATAATTTTATTTAAAGTTTTTGTTTTTTTGGTTTTTGTTTTTTTTTTTTTTTTTTTTTGTGGTTTTTTAACTTTGATAAATTTGAAATTAAATATGTGTTAATAAGTTCCAAAAAAAAAATTGTTTTAATTTGAAATTATGTTTTAAATATGTGCTAATAAAATTATGTTTAATTTTGTATGTGTAAATTAAATATGTGTTAATAATTTCAAAAAAAAAATTATGTTTTAATTTTGTATGTGTATAATACTTTTATACATGATTATGTGTTAATTTTGTGTTAATTATGTGTAAATTTAGAAATTAAATGTATTATGCGTTAAATATAGAAATGAAATTTACAAATAAAAGTTTTAGAAATTACTTATGTGTTAATTTTTTGTTAAATGTATTAATTTAATATTTATATAAATATATGTATTTAAAAATAATATGGCATTGTTCCAGGATTATGGTGGAGACAGAAATTATTATAGTGGGATTTTTGTACATGATGGTCCCTCCGAAGATGTTCAACAAGCGATTGATTGGGAAAAACAGGTTGCAATTAGATCTGGTTTTTGTTTAGTAGTAGCAAGTCATAAATCTCTTAAGGACTCTAGACGGCGACATGGTATGATTTATTGAGTTCATAGCGCAAAACCCAGCCGAGAAAACGAAAAGGGATGATCTGAGTAATAAAACAAAACCAAATTAAATGAAATTCTGCAACATTTGAGATTGTCAATCAATTAGACTAAAACCCAAAATAATTAAAACGCACGTAAATCAATTAAAACGCTCAATAAACCCCATGCACGCAACATGCCATACAGTTAAACCCTAGATTTAAATATAATGGCTTTCTACTACTACACAATAAATAATAATTCAATGTTATTTCACAACAAATCAATAAAACCAAGTATATCTGAATGATATTCAAGCACAAAAGCAAGGAAATTGATTAGAAAAAGAACGATATTACCATAAATTGAAGAAATTAACAAGCAGCGGAAGAAATTTAACACGACTTTGACCCAAATTCGGTAAATTTCAGGCGGCTTCAAAAGATAACTACGATTGTATAACAGTATAAGAATACAAGATCGTGATGAACAATTAGTTTTAAAGTATGAATTTTTCAGATTTGAAAGCTAGAGAAAGAGAAGAGAGAGAGAGGGTTTCTATTACGTGTATGGGTAGCAGGGGCGGTTTCTGATTTTTTTTTTATTTTTTATGTTTTAAAATTTCATACACCGCTTTTTTGAAGTCATGGGTCCCATCCTTTTGATGTAAGCCTACGACCCCCCAATCATTCCTTTCCGGCGTTTCGACGCTTTTCCATGTCGAGAAACTACTTCGACTTAAAAAAGCGTCGATAAAAAGCGGAAATATATTTTTCCACTAACGCCTCATAGACAGCGTCGAGCCAACGACGTCTAGAAAGTAAAGGTTTGTAGTAGTGATGTGCTGTATCGTGACCGGATACGTCAATGGAACAATCTAGCTGCCTTTTAGTTTGTCATGCGTATACCTTTTCTATGTAACCTTGTATTTGTATTGCTATTTTTATTCCAGTAATTTATTTTTTGTATTCTAATTTTGACTAAATTTATATCTTGCATGCATACTAATTAGTATTCGCGCGTTACAAACTAAAAAGATAATGTCAAATTTTAAGAACTTAAAATGATAATGTCAAATGTTACAAACTTAAACGATAATGTCAGATTTTACAAACTACTATGATAATGTACAAAATGTTCTATAAATAAACTGCCAACAGATCAGTAATCCCTCTTTGACGCCCACACTGCGCAAGGTCCTCGACCGTTTTCTGCTTACCGCAGACACAGTGGACGTAGATTCCCGATCTACTAACAAACCTACCATCTCTACCCTTATGCACATCTACCCTATGCGTCTCATACATATCATCAAGCCTTTGACTGAATGGACCGTAATCATCATATATATCGTCCACATCCTCCTCCTCCTCCTCACCATCATCATCCTCGGGATGGTGAACTCGTTCTTTGCGAGTCGAGGCCGAAATACCACCCGATCTAACGTGTCTGGGCCCCGAGCTCTCCATTGAATAGTTTCTACTTCTAATAACTTCCATAGTCTTCCCCGCACCAGGTCGAAAATGCGATACCTAACTCCATAAAAAAAATTAAAATATATATAAACATAAAAAAAATTAAAAAAAAAATAACGAACCAAAAAAAATATCAAATAAACAAAAATAATACTAACAAATTGACATAAAAAAAAATTAACAAAACACTGCAAAATAAATAAAAACAAAAAAAATACAAAATAAAAATAAAAAAATTACCAAAACATAAAAAAAAATATAAACATGAAAAAAAAATTAAAAAAAAAAAACAAAAAAAACATACAAATAATTGAAAAGTAAATATAAACATAAAAAAATACAACAAATTTGAAAATAATATAAAAATAAACAAATAAATATACAATAAAATGAAAAAAAAAATATAAACATAAACAAAAAAAATCTGAAAAAAAATAAATTTTTTATACTGAAAACTGGAAAAAAAAACATAAACAAAAAAATTAAAAAATAGAAAAAAGGGTGGCGGCGCCCAGGTCAACGCCAGCCCCACGACGGCGGCGCCCTCGCAAGACGCCACAACCGTGGCCATGACGTCCCGCACAGCCGCCGCCGCAGTGGGGCTGGCGTTTGGCTTGGGCGCCGCCACCGTGGCCACGACGTCTTGGCTAGGCGCCCTGCCCTCTTCAAGGTTTTTTTTTTTTTTAATTTTTTAACAAAAAAATACGTTGCCACCGTGACCGCCTTCCTCCGCCTCCGCTGCCGCCAATTCCTTGTTATAGAAAGAAGATGGGTGATGAGAGTGTGTGAGGTTATATATATATATATATATATATATATATATATATATATATATATATATATATATATATATATATATATATATATTAACGGCAAAAGTGTCAATTCAACGAAAATTTGTGGGCTTTATGTGGAGATTTGCGGGCGATGTTTAGCAATCCACAACTTATTTTACTTAACTGAAATTATTTTTACTGAACTAAACTTATTTTTACTGAACTGAACTTATTTTTACTAAACTAAAATTCTTTTTACTAAATATTTTTTTTAAGGTGAAGTGAGCAAGACCTTACACTACAAGAAAAAGGGGAATTAGTAACTGATTTTTGCGACTACCATAATAATCAGTTGCAAAAATTAGTTTTTTGCGACTGAAAAAGACGAGTTTTTGCAAATTTTGCAACCGATTTTACTGTTGTTGCTATGCGGTCGCTAATTAGCAACTGATTTTTACGACTAACATAATAATCGGTCACACAAATTATTTTTGCGACTAAGAAAGACGAGTAGTCGCAAATTTTGCAATCAATTTTGTAGTAGTTGCTATGCGGTTGCTAATCTGCAACGCTCTTATAATTTTTTGCGACTAAATTGTAGTTGCTAGGGTCTATAATTTGAAACCATCTTTTTTAAAAAAATTGCGACCATTATTGCAACTAACACGGTAATCGCTACCATTAATTTTTTAATAAAGAAATAAAAAAAAAACCCTTAGTATAATAAGTTTTTGCCGCCAAATAACAAGAACTATCACTCCTTATTTTCATAATCGCAGTATATACTCTTCTTCCTTAAATAAAAAAATAAATAACAAAGGCTTCCATTGCGAATTTCAGAACCAAGTTCAGAACTTCAGAACGAACCTGTTGCCGTCGTCTTCATCTGCCGCCCCTGCGCCACCACATCTCCTCTCAGGTTAGTTGCGAATTTTAGGGTTATCATTGAATTTTTTGTCCAATTTTTTTTTTTTTTTTGTAATCTGGTTTCCATTGCGAATTTATTTTAATCTGACTATTGATTGAATTGCGAATTGATTTTAATCTGATTATTGATTGAATTTTTGAATTGTAAATTGATTGAGTTGCGAATTGATTTTAATCTGGTTTCCATTGAGAATTGTGGATTGATTGAATTGATTTTAATCTGGCTGCCAATTGCGAATTTTAGGGTTATCATTGAAGTCAATTAATGTAAAACAAAATTGATTGATTATGCAAAAAGCCCTAATTATTTTCAATGTAAAGATCCCAAGTCTGATTATTCCAACTTTTTTTTTTCTCTCTAAATGAGGTTGATTGATTAGAGTGTAGTTCTAATTGTAATGGGATAATCAATAGACTGGAACTTGAATAATGATGAGTCTCTATTTCCTTATTCTTCTTTATTGCCAATTATAAAAAGAAACTATCGAAAGAATATATCATCAAAGTACAAAAGAAATCGTAGAAAGACTATAAATTTGTATACTCCATAACTGTTTTGATTCATTATCCAACTATGATCAAAGTACTAATAATAAGAGGGGGTTAATGCAAGTTAAGCAAGTCTTCCAAGTCATTGCCTTAGAAGAGGTAGTGCATAAGACATATATTAGTACGAGAATGATTCATATAGTGAAGTAGCAAACATATAGAGAAGGAGTGCAGACTAAAACTACTCTCTGTCAAAACAATACTAGGACTCTGCTTTTCTGCCTATTTCAATTGAAGAATACCTATTACCAGACTTTTGAGTTATATAGGACAATACCCTTCTTATATAGCATAAAGTCAACTATGGACATTAAACAGATGAAGTGTCAACTGGAAAAAAGCTATTTTCTAACTCCTGGAGTGGTAATAGGACCCAATCAGATCACTAGTGTCAAATTCTATGCCAATCTTGTTGAAAAGTTGTTCATTTTTTTTTTCTGACACTTATCTTTAGTTGATTATCGATGGAGTATTTTAATGCCCCGTCATGAAAGAACATATCTTTTTATGCTCACTTCGTGTCTCTTCCTTATCGGCCGTGAATCTGATACCCTCTAAAAGTACTTGGTGTGTATAGTTAAAATTTTATTTTCCTTTTTTGTTAGTCAATTTGCTGTACTTTCTAAAACTAGAACATGACCTTGTAATTATATCAATCTAGATTTTGAAATCAATATGGAGTAGAACTTTGCGGTAGAATAACAATTCATAGTGCAATAGAATTCAGACAAAGTAAACTAAATCAGTTGAATAATATTTGCCTTTAGAAGTGTAGATACACTCATGATTATGCTAAGCCAATTGAAGTTGCCTCTCAATGCCACTAACATCAGTGCCAAGAACATGCTTGTATCCTGTATAATCGATTCAGATAACATCTAAACCATTAAAAATCAGAATTTGAAAATGCCAAAAACTATTCAAGTACTTATTATTCCCTGCCACGCACATAATTCTTTTGTTTGGATTATGAGTTATAACACAAAGCCATTAATTCCCTTAGAAGAGCATCAACAATCAATTATTTAACTAATAGAGCAATCCATAATCAACGTACTCCATAGTAAAATATTACTCCATTCATTGAGGGATAGAAATGATTTCCAACTGACTTATTAACTTGGTGATAGCAAGGACTTTAGTCGAACACCTTGAATGCTTAATTTCTGAAAGCCATTGCTACAAAATTTACATGAAAATTCCAATTAGAAAGTCATTGAACAATTCAAAAGTAAGTAGTCGTACAGAAAAAAATCTCAATAAATTTATATAACAAATCTAATAATATGTCTAGCCTATTTTCCAATTAGATTGAAAATCAAACATTACTAAAGTAAAAGAAATCAAATATGACGGAAATAAACAACTTCTAAATAACAATTGAAGAAGAAAGCAAGAAACCAAATAGGAAGGAAGATTACCAGGTTTCTAGAGGCACCTTAGAATATTATGGAGTTTTTATATGGCAATAATGGTAGTTTGTTGTTGTATCCAAAAAGGAGAATGGTAGAAAGACGTTAGATTGGAAAAGGAGAAGTCAAAAGATGGCAATTTGAAGAGGAGAATTAATCAGAGGAAATGAATGAGGCAAACGAAGGTGAAGAGGCGGCTGAATTTGTCCTCTCTCCGTTTTTTCCTCGACTCTTTCACAGTTTCTCTCTCTTCGAAACGAACATCAATCTCTTCGACCTCTCAACACGAATATCCTCAAATCTCGTATGTTCCTCTCTATTGCTTAATGTTTTGTTATTATGTATGTTCTATTTGACTGGAATTTATATTCGATATTTTGTTGGTTTCTAGAATTTGTTTAATTTCTCAAATTATATTGTATGTTATTCTGTATTGTTTAAATTTTCTGGAAATATTGTTGGAAACTTTGAGTATTTGTTCTTCTGAATATATTTCGATCTCTTTTGCTTAATTTTATTTCCGAGGTTAATCTGTGCTTCTTTTGCTTGATCTTTATCAATTTTACAATCTAGGGTCTTATCTTTGATCTAATTTAATTAAATTGTTTGTGCCAGTAAGTTTAGGGTTTGAAAATCTGAACAATAATAAAATCTAGGGTTTACTCTCTTTCAAGTTTCATTCAATCTCTCTCACATTAATATGGCCTTTTGCTTTCAAGTTTTGCCTCTTCTCTTCTTCCATTAATCTCTCTCAATTATCCAAGCAATTACTGTACTCTCATTCTATTGGTGTTCATTCGATTTAGGTAATTTCCATCTTTTCTGAATATTAATTTCATGTGTGATTAAGTATTTTGTTTTAATTAATTCTTCGTTTTTTTATTTCCTTCATATTATTATTTTTTTTGGGTACAATTGATATGTTTAGTCTGATTTTGATCTTTATTAATCTGATTTTAATTTGTTATTGTTCTTTTTTTTTTTTTTTGCAATAATATAACTTGATTAGCTTTGTTATTTCAAGAATTAGGATTTGTTTTATAGTTGCATGTTCTGTAATTTTTATATGTTATTAGTAATTAATTATTAGTAATATTGTCAATTCTACAATAGAAGCATCGATTCTATATTCTGTTTAGTGTTGTTCATTTGATTTTATTAGTGTTAGTTGTTTCTTATTGATTTCAATTTGTATGGTTACTGAGTGAATATGGTTTCTCCCAAAGCTCACATCTTTGGCTCAAACACACGATGGAAAGAAATTAGGTTACCTGAGGATGAGTTGAATTCATTGGTGAAGTATTCAGCTTTGGGAGTTTGGGTCATTAAAATTTTGTAGCTTTAATTGATAAACTAATGTATGATTGTTTTCTAAGCCAAAAGATTTGATCTTTATGGATCTTTCTTTGATATTTTTGACATACTATTTGTAGTACTACACATATTGTATGGTTTGTATCAATATATCTCTTTCAACTTTCATGTTTATGACCAATGATTGCTTATGCATGTTAACTTTCATGTAATGACCGTGCTTAAGCTTCATTGTTTTGGTGAATTCTATACAATATGCATACATTTTTCAGTTTGTAATGTGTCCTAGTTAGATTAAAAAAATAAGGATTCTAAAAATAAAAAATTGACTATTTTCCTATATGGCGCGCTGTATGCTTTCAAAATTGTGCCCTTTTAGAATATATATTGATTGTGTGCTTAATTTGATAATTGAATCAAATATTCCGAAAATTTGGTTGTTAGTGTATAATATGTTCATGTAATAACGAACTTAAGCCTTGGTTATTGTACTTGATGATACTAACACCTGCTGCTAACATCTTCATTTGGAGTTTGAAGCTATGAGATATAACCTGTATCATTTTTATTTCTATGGTGCTGCTGCCTACTACTTTTTAACAGGCTTATTGCTATGGGGGTTTGATGGTTCATTATTATACAAGGTCATTTGTAGATAATTCTTATATGATGCATTATTATATAGCCAAAGCCTAAGGGGGACATCATTAAATCAATACTGAGAGGAGTGAGTATTAACCAGGTGGCTGTAGGCGTCCTCATCTTTTTGAGACTTAGTGTCGTGCTTATAGTGCACCGTCATGTTTCCAAAATGTTGATATTCCTGTCTTCTGTGGTCTGTTCTTTCCATGGCTTATATTTGTTTCCCTTTTTTGTGCTTATAATTATCTCATGTATGTATCCGTCGGTCCGTCCCACCCTTCCCCCCTGTGCAGGAGTATTTGAAAATTCCAAAATGTCATCTGTATCATATCCAACCCCTTTGCATGGAAAAGCAACAAAAGAAAAGAAAGACCCTTTACAGAAGAAGACATCTGAATCTTCTAACTCTGAGGGCAAAGAAAAATTCACTTTCTACACGCAAAATGGACGTGTCGTTACTTGCCCTTATACTACTACTGTTAACAAAGATGGACTCATCGTCAATTCTTGCTCTTCCATGCCTAATAAGTACTATGAATTCAGCAATTTACCAGAATATAACACTACAGTTCCAGGCTGTTGCACTGCTGTTTTCAAGGGAAATCCAGTAACGTCTATTCCTTGGTGCGGTCCAATGTCGCTTCCAGTTCCCGTTGAATGTAAGCCAAATTTTGTTTTGCTGACTGATTCTGATGACATTCTTGTTTCGGTTGCCAACAATGTCGATCGTAAATACAACTGCCTCGTGGTGAGGGGCACCGTTGATACTGCCACTTGCTTTTTTCTGAGGCACATTAAGAAGGAGCTGGGCAACCAAATTCCAATCCTTGCACTGGTGGATTATGATCCCATGTCTTTGAAGCTTCTATCCTTGTACGTGAAATGGACTAGTGAGAAGATGCCATTGGAGTTAGCTTGCGTTGATCTTGACATTAAATGGTTGGGGCTCAGGCGGATCCATTTAGACGTTGCTGATAATGCTTTAGAACCTGAGGATCTCAAGAAGCTTGAGTTCCATGGATGAGGATGATTTAGCTGCTGCAAAAGAACTATTTTTTAATGCAAATTTTGTGAACAAGTCCCCAGAGAGGGTTGCGGAGGTGAGGAGGATGATTGATAGGAAGTTGATGATCTTGGTGGTTCATCTTGATACTGTTGATTTTCTTCTCAAGTATCTCCCTACTGTGATTGAAGGCTAGAAGTGGATTTAGGAAGCCTATCACCTGGCTCTGTTCTGCTTAGATGTGTTAGCTGCCCTTGCTCTGTCATTGTCATAATTTTTGTTTAGGGCGTGTTTAGAGGAGATGATTTACTATATACTACTTGTAGTTATTAAGCTTCGCTATTCTAATTAGAATGTTTTATTTATGTTTGTCGTGAATTATACTTGTATATAATATGCTTGTCAAACAAAATGAAAATATTCCTTGGAGCGCTGACTCATCATCTTATCCGCTGACCAGGTTAGAGATTGTTATTCCATTCGCTAGATTTCAGGGATGCTCCATAACGAACGAACTCCTCTGTAATTGAATAGTTTTATTTTATTTATATATTTTTTTTTTTAATTTTTTGAGACATCAAGTAGGCACAAAACAATGTGCCTCAGTGATACTTTAATTGAATAGATTTTTTTTTTTTTTTTTTTCTTTTTAATGATGTTTAATTACAATTTTTTTCGATGTTGTGCAGCTTATATATCCTTTTTTGGAGCTTGATATGAAGTACTTTAATCTCGGTCTCCCAAATCGTGATGCCACCAATGACAAAGTCACAATCGAAAGTGCAGAAGCTACATTAAAGTATGATGTGGGTATGATGTTGAATTGATGGGCAATTCGTTTGGTTGCTCTGCCTCGGGTAAGCGACTGTTGTCAGCGACAAGAGACGGAGGGTCATGGTGTGGGTATGTTTTTATTTTTTATTTTATTTAGTTATTTATCTATTTTTTATGTAATTTCTGTACAAATTTTCCAGAAGTTTGCAGCACCGAATTTTAGTTTATACGACATTATTCGACTTCGAATAGTACAATTACTTAATCAGCTTCTTTTACAGTTATTATTAATGCTGGAAACTTTACAGAATATTTAAAAGTGTCCAAAATAATTGTAAGGGAAGGTGGAAAAATTAATTTGAGGGGCACATGCAAGGGAACAACAATGTCACAATCTGAATTGATGAAAGTGTGAAATTGAAGGATGTTTAATAATTAATTAATCTATTTAATTGTAAATATATAATTTAGAAATGGAAGTTTTGCAAGAGAACAACAGTCCCACCTTTTCAATCCTCTTGTTCAGTATATAATTTCCATGTACATCATTCTTGTGAAGTATAAGAAAAATAAAGGTGGGTGAATTTGAAGTTTGGGCGTTTCTTCAATTTGGGGCTCAAATTGAAGAAAGAGAGAAATTATGAAAATCTGGATTTGGGATTAAAGTTGCAAGAGATTTCCTGAAACTTTAAGTAGGGAGAGTGATGAGGGACAACAAAAACATGAATTATTGGATGTAACCAAGCTCAATTTATCCATCTTCTTCTTTTTTCTGGTTATTTCTAGGTTTCATTCATTTTTGTGATTATTCTTACTCTAGTGTCAAATTTTCCTACTCTATAACTTTTTTCTCCAATATTTATGTTTTATATTTATATAATCTAACAACAGAATTTTACAGATTTGAGCATCTGGGATTTGCAATTAGTTTACCATTATCTTGTTTGATTAATCAAATGTTTGTTTTTGGTTTATTTCACAAGCTAATACCCTGTACAAATTGATTTACCAGATTTCAGCTTTTAACTGAACTTGAATGGCTTGTATATCAGAACTCAGCAATCCTAACATTGTACAATAATGTGTTTACATAGTTATTTAATGTTTAGTGCATTGTGACCTTCAGCTTATATTCTATTTGTTATGCTCTTCTTGGGTGTTGATTATAATTTGAGGTTGTTGCTTGGAAATTCAGTTTGTAGAGGTTTTGGGGCTTAACATTATAGTTTGATTATTGGTTGTTCACAAGGTTTGGTGTCTTTGCAAGTTGATTATGTGCATTGGGGTTTAATACTCGTTAGACAACTACTTACTGCTGCATAATATATTAATTTGGAACCTGGAATTTATTCGAGGAATACCCTTCTTAGTCATTGCCCACCAGGCCACCCAAGCACTTCTCTTGGCACCTTGTTATAAGCCTTCTCCAAGTTAATGATAATCATGTGAACCTTTTTCCCTCGCCCTATAATACTCCATTATTTGCCTTATCAAATGTACAACTTCCATGGTAGACCGCCCCGTCATAAACCCATTTTGGTTATGTGAGATCCTTGTACATGTCCTCAATTTAAAGTCTATCACTCTCTCCCATAGTTTCATGGTGTGACTCATGAGCTTTATTCCTCGATAGTTTGAGCCATCTTGAGCATAACCTTTGTTCTTACAAATTGGTTTTAACGTGCTTTTCTTCCAATCATGTGGCATAACACTGCTTAAAATTATTAGTACCATAATTTTGCTTAAAATTTTTCTTCAAAAACAAAATGCCATAAAATTTTTTGTTTTTTCTCTTCTATGCCACTGGGCAGTCTTCCTTGAAATTATTTGTTAGGGTTTTATCTTACAAGAATTTTCAAATGTTGAACAGATTGAGATGAATTGTTATTTTTGGCACAATCCAAACAGATCGAGGGCCATTATGGCCTTTTTTCAGGGACAAATGGATTGTCAATGTTTTATTAATTTAATTATAAATTACTATTCCCTTCTATTGCTAGCTAGCTAAGTAGTCATCAGATGGTTTTTGTTGAAATATATGTAGATATCAGAACACCTTCATGAGGCTTTTGTTTACCTAGATATGGGATGCACAGAGAGTTTCAAATTTATTGGTGCATTCTCTTTGTTATTGGAATATATTATGGAGCAGGAGCTGTTTGTTGCTACGTTGTATACTTGAATCTGGTAAGGGTGAGATAATTTGTTTATCTGCTGATCACAGGCTTGAGAGCAATGAGGAAGAGTAAGTTGTAGGCACAACATAGTTCTATTAGTCACCTTAATTGTGTGCTACTGTTGAGGTTAACATTTTAATTAACTATTAATAAGGAGAGATCGTGTTACAGCCTGTGGAGGTGAAGTTGGTCGGCTTAATACTAGTGGTGGAACAGAGGTAACTTTTTTTTTCTTTTTCTTTTTCTTGGAAACCTATTCTTCTCTCTCTTTTGATTTTGCACGTTATTCACTGCATCTTTTTGCTTGGATTGATATAGTTTTGTAAATGAATCTTTACTCACTGTAATCCATCTTGTGGCCTTATATGTCAAAAACTCAAGACTTATTTTGAAATTTCTGATGTATGTATTTGAGATTAATAGTTTTCTATTTGTTTGTTTGGGTATGCTTGTGTTAATGCACTTTGTAGTTGGTATAATGACAATCCAAATAAACATAAAAAATAATTTGGCAGAGCCATTGTCCCTTTTTTTTTTTTTTTTTTTTTTTTTTTTTTTTTTTTTTGCTATAGTTATTTTAGATTTTGAAAAGTATGATATGAAGTGTTTTAGATAGATTGATACTTATATACCATTAAAATTTTGGAGAGATTTGGTGAAAACATATTCCTCTCTTAGAATATAAGATGTTAGTGTCCAGGATTTCTTATTATATAAGATGTTAGTGTCTAGGTTTTGTCCAAAATAGGTTTCTATGGAAAAAATGAAGGGTAGGGATACTTCTGAACTTGAGTTGTGAATCAATGTGCTTAGGTACCCACTTAATTATTTCTTTTACCTGTAAACTGTTTATCTACATTTTAAATTGTGGTTGTTGAATGAAAAGATGAAAAAGTTAATGTAAATCTGCAGTAATAAAGGGATACAAGTGCTGGATATCATCTGCTCATAATCCTGTATAGCTTGGGAAGACAAAATGATTAAATGGATGGGCGACATCATTTTATAACTGACCTTAAAAAATGCACATTCAATTTTTTGGTCTACCCCATTGGTTTCAATCATTTTGGCTGGACTTTGCAGTTAATATATGCTGAATGTATGCCTAGGGCTTATTGGCCCCTATCCGGATGCCTCTTCTTTAGAGTAAATTCCAGTGAAGTGGATGAAGTACTAAAATCTGGAGCATAATGTGCACCAGATTTTATCTTATGCATTATGCATAATTTTTAATTATTTTTCCCTCAGCTTCACTTCTTTTTTTTTCTTTCTATTTTGTTACTAATTGGAGCATGTTATTCAATGCTTATAAAGATTGGTCCTTTGAGGTGTTGGCCTGGTGGCCTTTGTCTATCTCGATTTCTTGGAGATATGGATGTTGGCGAATTTAAAGTTCCAGTTCCTTATGTGAAACAAGTGAGGGTATGTTGACTATTTACCAATATTCTTCTTTTGCTTGATTATCATTACTGTCAATGCGTTCTGGAAAAGCTTGCAGATCCCTATAATTTTAATTACATTTTTACAAAATGCATATCCTTGGCCTCTTTGAAATTTGAATTATAGTTTACTTGTCTTATGTCGAAGATCCTGGGATTTGTTCACATCTCCTTTTCTTTGTATGTACCTTAGACATGGTTAAATTATACTTTCTTGACTACCTTTGAGATGATTTCAATCATATATTAGAGCAAAGTGTACAATAGATAAATTTAGAGAAGTAAAGTCCACTGAAATTTTGTTATCTTGTTAGATGCATTTTTATATGAACTATGAGTACAAATGAAGACATACAATCAAATCAAAGTTTCAGATAATGGCCTTATTTAGGTTGTGATGGGCAGTTGGTAGTTGGCACTCATCTTGCTTAGTATGATATTATAGGCTTTCAAAGAGTCACTAAGGCAATGATGCAGTCTTTCAAATCTTGTGTGATACTACTACAGCTATTGCCACTGTTAGTTCTAGGACGTCATGATATGTCTACAACTACAAGTAGCAAATGTAAATTAATACTAATCGTATGAAAGACCACTACTATTCAACAAGATTACAACTTTCATAGGCCTATTAAATGAGGCGTTCTTATTGCAATATTGGTGGTTTTGGTGACTTTGTTGTAGTTATTTGCGTAGAAAGAGATTAATGTGTGCTTTCATGTGTGAGGTGGTATTGTATGTTGGAGAAAGTGTGTATTTGTATGGATGGAATTATGCTATGTAGGTGTGTATGTTTATAGGTCTGTACAGGTTGCTATGAGTTATGCATGAGTATTTGTACTTGTGTCTGAAAGTGTATTGTGGATGTGATATTGTGTTAGAGAATGCTGATTTATATAAGGACTTATGCATATTAGGCGTAAATGAAACTGTATGCATCAAGTGTGTGAGAGTGTATGTGAGGCTGCATGTGTGCTAGGGTGTTTTGTAATCCGTGGGAGTATGTATTAGGTTGTGTGAATGAGAGGGTGTTTGGTGTTTTGTGCAGTTTGTACAAAGGTCCTCTGGTGTGAGTAGTGACATATACTGTTGGCCTGTTGAGAAGTTATGTAGCCTGCTGGATAACAACATTTAATTACTCTAGGTGCTTCGTTAGGTGCTGTAAGCGATGTGCATGATGTGTGCAAGTGAAGACAGTAGCATAGGTGAGGGAGTTACGTAATGTTTCTACTGTTTGTATGTACTTGCAGGTGTTCTAGAAGTAGCACCAAGTACATAAGCGTTTGTATGCTGCAATTGTTTTAAGGGACCTTCTTAAGGCTTAAGACGATCAATTAAAAAATGGGAGACATTAACTTCATATAATTATAAATGACAAGAGGAGAGGTAAATTAAGGGGCAAAAGGGCAGAGGGGGGAGGGAGCAAGTAGAAGGCCTTTTAAAAATTATCAAAGCCATGAAAGAAAAAGGAATGAGAAAGAGGGGGTAAGAGGAGGAGAAGAGTGGATGGGATGGAGAAAAGGCAGCAAGTTAGAAAGAATGGAGAAAAGACAGCAAGTTAGAAAGAATGCAAAGGTGAAAAATGAGAGAGAGAGAGAGAGAGAGAGAGAGCCTTATTGTGAAAAATGTTGAAGAGGGGGAAAGAGATCGAGGTAAATGTGAATAGGAATTGACTTAATAAAATTTGCAAGAGCATGAAATAGGAGAGGAGAAATTTTAAGTAGCTATTTTTTGTAAGAAACACAAGCATGAAGACTTTAACACTATGTTTGGATAACAGTGAAGGGAAAGGGAGGGAAATGAAAAAGAGGGAGGGGAAAGGTAGTTGAGGGAGGGAAAAGATCTTCCAAATCTCTCCAAAAATGGAGGGATTTGGTTTATTAAAGGGGAAGGGAAATGGATCCTTCCAATTCCCTCCCCTTTTCTCCTTGCATTAGGTATCCAAACAAAGGATGATGCATCCTTTCTTTTTTTTTTTTTTTCTCTTCTTTTCCCTCCATTTCTCTCTATCCAAACATAGTATAAGTAATCATAGACAAGTGGGAGAAGGATGTAGAGGAGGTACTGAGGTAGGAAAAAGGATGGAAGGAGGTGGGTGGGGGTTGGGGAGAAGTAAGGTAGATCTTATTTTCAATGTGCATATACTGCTTGCTCCACCCCTCATTTTGTAGATAATATGAAAAATCATGTGTTTTATTAAGCCTTGAAATTTAAAGTACACATGCAGATAATAATTTGATTTGACATAGTTGCAATGATCTAATTACCATCAGTTCCTTAGTTCTTGACCTTTCCTTTTGTTGTGTACAGGTGGCAAAGCTCAATACCCCAAAACAGTACTACTTCAGATTTCATGACCACAAGTATGCCACGGTCTTCTAGACTAATATGGAAACGCCATCTCTCTGCCTGGTAATTAAAGATTGTTAATCAAGGAAGACTTTGATTTCCTATAGAAATTGAGCTCCATATGGGATTTAAATAATGTTTGGTGCATGCACGAACATTAATTGGAAACCCCACAAATGCTTCCTAAGGTATGCAATTATTAAATAGCTAAGGCAATGCATATTGTTTCATACTTCTGCACGTAACCTATATTTTTCATGATCTTAAATATATTACTTATTTAAATCTAATTATACTTGAAAAGAAAAGCACTAAATTAGGTCTATAGAAACTTTCCGCTTAATTTTGGGTCTTAAAAGGTCTTAGGCTAATGTTTAGTTCACCTTATTTTTACTTATTACAGATCATAACAGAAAAGAAAAAAAAAACTTAGCCTTGTCTCTTGCCAACTAAGTCTCATACATGGAAGATATGTACATGAGCTCATGAAACCCTCATGCATGCTTTGATATGAGATTAGGAGAATATTTAAATCACTATCTATGACCTTTCACTTGTCTAATAGTTTACAAAAGAGAAGGAAAACGACCTAACTTCGTAATTATAGCTTAATTTGGACTATAATGTTGAGTTTATTTTAAGTTTTGGAGTGGGAAGCTAATTTTATACTCTCTTCGTGTGTTTGTAAGTGTTACACTTTTCGTGTGTTTGTAAGTGTTACACTTTCACCGGCACATAGTTTAGGCAATTTAATCGACTTGAATTAAATAAGAGGTAAGTGGGGTAGTTGGAGTATTAAAAATTGTAAAAGAAAGATTGTTGGGTTTATATTTTATTGGAAAGTAATGAATGTGAGAGGAAAGAAATAATAATAAAAAAGTAGTAGTGGGTTTGGGTGGGGACCATTAGAGGAGAGAGATATATAAAATTAAAATATAGCTTTTTGCCAAAAAAAAGAAGTGTAACACTTAAAAAAAAAACACGGTTGTATTTGGAAAGTGTAACACTTAAAAAAACAGAGGAAGTAGGTATGGGATTTTGAGGGAAGCAAGGAATTGATGTATTTCTGGTTCTGAATTTCTGATGATAGTGAGGCAGATCAAATCAGTTTATAGTTGTGAGAAGAAGCATAGTTTCATAGCATTTATTATGCTCCAATTTGTCAAATTACTATCCCCATATCAAGTCATGCTATAATAGCACAAGACTGCTAGCTTGTTTGCTGTCCCAAATATGTTGGTACTCCAGCTCTTGCAAGAATTAAGTTCAGTAGTGCGTAAGTGTCAACCCTTATGAATTTTTGTAGTTTTGGTGATCTAAGTTTTTCATGTTGGTTAAAGCAGTGCAATGGCTCCTGCATTATTACTACACTTACATTGCTGAATTGATATGGGTTGAGTGGTGTTATCTTATATGGCTATTGAATATAGAGTGGGCACTTGAATGGGTTTTGAATGACTTGTGAATGTTTAGTTTTGCTTGCAGATTCTTCTCATAGGGCCAAAGTATGCCAGAGGGGGTGTTATTCACTTTAGCAAAGCTCCTGGGGTTCCAAGCAGTCACACACTCACACTAAGCCCATTGTGTGATCACATGGGGTAGGAAATTTGGAAAAGCTATTTGGTTTTCCAGCTGCAGCAATTTGATGCAGATGACTCTGACCTAGAGGTGGCACCACCCTGGGTTTTCCTCTGCACCATGCATCCTCATCCTCCTAAAGTTGGCCTTTTATGATGCACCTCTCTCTCTCTCTCTCTCTCCATTGAAGCACAAACTCTGAATCCTCCATTGAAGCAACTTTTGAACTTTCTCCTCTGTGGAAGTAACTTCTGAGGTAAGATGTTTTCTATTGGTGTATATCATGTTCGTTTTTGTAAGTTTAAGGGGGTAAACAATGCAATAAGTTATTAAGTTATGGTCTTAATTTTTCCAAGATGTGATATGTCTTCTGCACTGATATTATCATCGTACATTTTGTTAGACTTATGGAAACTCACATGATACAATATATGACAAACTGATACTGACTTTTTACTACAAATCTATTGGGCGGCTTAATATTTTGTGCCCTATGGTTTATCTTTAGTGTTCTCATTATAGTAGGATAGTTGCACCATTTATGTGGTTAAGCAGTTAATATTAATAGTGCTTATCGTACTATAAATAACAGTCCCATTTTATATCACAGCATTGCTCATCCCTTTGTATAATTATATGTTCTATTTAGAAGACTAAGTTTGGTCCTAGCAAATATAGGTCCTGTTCTTGACCTGTACAAGTGTTTAGAGCAAGATTTCCTCTAACCAAATTGCTTACTGGGTTTTTAACTTACCTATTAATTAAAGTATGGGTTCTCTAAGGAGAGTGTGCTTCACCTCCACTATGTAGAGTCTGTTTTATCAGGGTCTTGGAGAGAGGTGTATAACAATCCCAAAAATAATAGGCACAAATAGAAGCAAGAATCGACAGCTCAATAAGTTACCTGAAAAACATCTAATCTTGGTGTGTGTTTGGATGAGGAATCAAGATATATATTCTACGTGTGTTGATGAATGATGAATGGTTTATGATTGATAAAAGACTGAGTTTCTGTTTGATGTCGTAATGGAGTTTTTCAGGATAACACACCACCGCTTTGACGCTAGAAGTAAATGGAGTAGTTTTGAACGTTATGGTGAAGAGGAAAGAAGAAAAGTCTATTGCAAGCAAAAGGACGAGGAGTTGGGTCATTACTGGAGAGGGTCTGTGACTGGACTGATGTTAGATTTGACATGGACACTAGAAATTGAGTGTATCTCGGCAGCATGTCAAGTTTTGTGATGAGAATGTGTCTTTGTGTATGTGCGAAAGGTCCTCTTATTTATTTTGGATTCCTTGCATCCTATTATAGCTTTGATTAGATCTTCATTTTCGAATAATGATAGTCTCATTAGAATCTAGATGGTAAAAAACATGATTTCCAATGTGAAGACTTTAAACTAATATCATTGAAGTCAGTTGCTCAAGCAATTTGTCTTGTGAGTAGTGTTTACTGTTATGATCATATATTTACTCAAGATGTGTCTTTTTGGTACTTTGAAATACATGTAATTCATAAGTCATTATTGCATTGTACTCCTGACTCTTAAATTTGCAAACTGCTATAAAATTGACACTTGTTATTGATAACTTGTTATTTGGCATGATTTTGGGGTACTTTTGAGCCTTGTTTTTGTTATTAATCGACATCAAAGTTCATTTTTTATCCTATTTTTATGCAAATATTGTACAATCCATGCTTCACGGGTTGTTTGTATTTTTGATGTAATGTAGCTATTATTAGCACTATGGATGTGATCAAGCATGAGTGATCAAGGATAAGAGCAAGCTTGGTTGATAGAGCCATGGAGGAAGAAGGAGGAATGCCTTAAAGGGAAATGAAAAGTTTTTGGAGAACCTTGAAAGGTCATTTGCGTAAGCGTCAACTTCAACCGACCATAACTTTTGATCTACTCAATCTTTTGAAGTAATTCAAATTGGAGATTAAAGTTCGTCTCAAGAGCTTTCCAACGACTGGTCACAAGTCCATTTCCGGCAAGAAACGAAGAAGTTACAGCTTCCCAAAGTTAAGTTGTCTAGGCAGAGCATTCTGCACGGACGTACAAGATGATGGCACGTCCGTGCCAAAATCTGCACGTCCGTGCAGACCTTGGCAGTAGCTACTGCCCTCTTTTTGGCCCTTCTGCACGCCCGTGCCAAATTTAATCTCGCACGTCCGTGCAGACCTACAGTCGAACTCTTTCCTCGTTTTTTCCGTCCTTTTTATTTGGAGGTCTTATAAATACCACCCTTGAGCTCATTTGTACGGGCTATGAAGGTTTTTAGCGCTTTATCTTAGTTTAGCAATTTTAGAACATCAAAACTCTCAAAATCATTAGTTAGTTCTTAATTGTAGCTTGGAAATATTCAACTTCAATCATTGTAGAAGACAAAGTCCACCATTGTTGCTCACGTTGAAGCTTCATAGTAACCATTTCTTACTCATCTTTTCCATTTCTCTCTACTTTGTTGTTAATTATTTGCTAGTTCTTGCATGTTTAGATTGTTAATTAGCTTAATCCTTAGTTTGAACTTGTTCATAAATTGCTTGAAATCTTTAATTGCTTTAATCTCCATGGATTGTGAGTAGTCTAATTTCTAGGGTTTGGGTAAAACCATCAATGTAGTCACTAATAAATAGTTGCATGTGCTAATTTGGTTGTTGTGGGATGTTAATTAGTTGAGCTTAAGTGGTTTAATTGCTTAGTTCTTATATATGACCATTGCTAGAACTATTTATCCAAGCTTTCTCAACGAAGGATCGAGAGATAAACTTGAGTTAGCTCCCTTATGCTTAATTGACTTGAAATGCCATGAGAATAGGAATTTCCAGTCAAGGGAATGTTTATATCATCGTGATTATGCTTTAACACTTGTTTTATGCTTTGTAACCACGAGAGTAGGTTGTATTCTTGATTCAAGTAATCCCTCTAGCTTGAGAGAGTAGTTGGGTGCCTTAGATGACTTCCCCTAATTTATCCCCTTAACTTACCTTGATTGTTGCATGCTAATCGTGATTTGTGATGAATTTGAGTGGTATAACCCGAGCCCTATATTCTTCTAAATATTGTTAATCTCCTCTTAGTTTTAGTTGAATTGAATTAGTAGAAGTTACTCAAAACCAACCCAATTTCGACTTCATTTAACTTATTTAAACGGTAGTACTTGGTGGTTGATTCAATGCCTCTCTTGGGTTCGACCCTTTCTTACCCTTGCTATTAGTTAGTGAGACCAAGATAGGATTTATTATCTTTGGTAGGCTCGACGACGGCCTATCAGTTATACTAAATTTAAATACTTTTCGTAATCTTCATTACCTAACATAAAACTTGTAAGGATCTTGCTAACAAATGCCCCTAGGGCATTAAATAAGCATTTAAATTATTTCCTAAAGAAGTATTAATTTTGGAATGTATGTCAAAATTACGCGTTGATCGGTGTAATTAATGTTCATATTAATTTAATATTTCTATTTTTAATTAGCTTATCCGACGCTTTCGGAGCGTTCGTCAGCTTTTGTCAAATTGCAATGTACTGCAATTATCCATTACAACGGATTTAAAAAGACATTACATTCTAATTGTATTCTTTTGCAAATTATATGATTAATTTCTGCTTATAAACACAACCTTATTAGACTAATGAAATTATTACAATGTATATCCTAAAACTAAAATTTGAGATTTTGTTCCAAACAATAAATAAAAATGAAAAAAAATAAATAAAGTTCAAAAACAAGAAAAATTAGAGGAAAAAAAAAGCTGTAAAATGTTTAAGTATGAATCAAACCTGGGAATTAAGCTTTTATCCACAACATATTTAATTTTTGAGTCTAATCAATCAAAATCACATAATATGTCTTTTTCTACCGTATACTTCGATACATCACACTCTCTGTACAGCTTTGCATTTCACCCCAATCGCTATGTCCGCAAGGGCTCAATTTGTTAAAATATTTAAAAGATGATTGATTTAATTTGAGAAAGATAATATAAAAATTATGAGTAATCTAAAATCTACTCCGTATCAATACACTTCATTATTATATATAGTTTCATGTAATTTGTTAATTTATGAATTATTTCTATATAATTTATTTATGTTGTTTGAACCCACCTATAAAAAAATGCTAGATTCGTCATTTCATGTAATTTGTTAATTTATGAATTATTTCTATATAATTTATTTATGTTGTTTTGCTTCTATTTTCTTTGGTTTTGGTTATTGTCTTTGCTACTGATATGACCTGTAGTAAATGAAGAAACTGTAATTGAATCTGTTCTGACAACAGCCCTAGATATTATAAGTACTAAACATCAGGGGGATATTCTAATCCTTATTATTTACCTACTTTTGCGGGTTTTTTTTTAACCATGGAAAGTGAAGCAACTACAACATCAATGCCGGTAGATGATGAGGTTGATGAATCTAATGCCGCTCGTAAGCGTAAAAGGAGTAGGAAATCTAAACTTTGGCAAGAAATGACGGAAGAAAGAATGCTAAAGGTGAGCGAATTGTTATTTGTAAGCATTGTAAAGTGGAGTTAATTGCCCACAAAAATAGTGGCACGTCTCATTTAATACGTCACTTGCTTGAATTGTGTAAAAAACGAACTAATGGACTTGTTTGATGATGAGGAAGAATTTGTTTTTGATATGAGTGAATTAAGAAAGGAGATTTTATTATATGTTGTTGAAGGTTCTCATTCTTTTTCGACCGTGGAAGAAAAAGGTTTTAGGCGGATGATGTTAAAGTTTAATTCTAAATTTAAACCATTTAGTCGAACAACTTTAACTAGAGACCTTTTTTCTTTGTATGCCTCTTATAGAGAGAAATTAAAAAAAAAAATTGAGGAGTGCACCCGGACGAATATGTTTGACAACTGATAATTGGAAATCATCACACACTTGGCAACATTACATTTGCATAACCGCCCATTTTATTGATCATGATTGGAAACTTCATAAAAGGATCATTAAGTTCACATCATTGTCACCCCCTTTTGATGGACAAAGCATCTCCGAAGAGATTTTTATGTTTCTTAATCAATGGCATTTAGATGACAAAGTGCTTAGCTTAACGGTTGACAATTCAAGTTACAATGATGTGATGGTTAAGCACATGAAAAATCGTCTTACATCAAGGGGAATGTTGGTTAGTGGTGGTTGTTTTTTTCATATTAGATGTTGTACTCATATCATCAATCTTATTGTCCAATCCGGTCTATCTTGTATTGAGAACATATTAGATAGGATTAGAAACTTGGTAAAATTTGTTATAAGATCATCTTCTAGAAGCAAGGATTTTTATGATACCGCTCAAAAGCATTTTTATTTAGAGGCTAAGAGGAAACTTCGTATGGACATGCAAGTTCGTTGGAACTCTACATATATGATGCTTGATAATGTGCTTTACTATAAAGATGTGTTTATTCATTTGGGGTCATTACATACATCTTTCAAGAGTAATGTGCCTTTGGAGGATAAATGAGATAAATTGAGTGTTGTTCACAAGTTTTTTAAACTCTTTTATGATGTTACATGTATGTTCTCGGCCAATGAGTCTCCAAATTCTAACATGTATTTTAAGTAGGGATGTCAGTGGGGCGGATCAAATAGGAGACCCGCCCCATCCCTGCCTCAACGAGGCGGAGATGGGTCTTGGTTTGGCGGGTGATGGGGCGGGGATGGGGATAAAAACCATACCTGCCATGGATGATGGGGCGGGGTGGATTTTAGGTTGTACCCGCCCCACTTCGTACCCGCCTCATCCCCACCTACCCCACTTCGTACCCGCCCCATCCCTACATCCATATTTTTCTTAAAACAAAATTATATACTTTTATACTATTTTATAAAAAAAAATTATGTAAAATAAAATAGTAAATATAATACTTTGTAATACACTTATATTATAAACAAAAAAAACAACCTGAGGATTAGGTGTATTTGGGAGGCAGGTCTTAGGTGGGGATTAGGTGGGGGTGGATATCCAAGTGGGGGTTGGGGCGGGGATGGTTTTGGATTGTACCTGCCGGGGCGGGGATGGGGATGAATTTTAGACCCGCCGCGGGGATAGGGATGAGGATGGGGATGATAATTTTAGATGGGGATGGGGATGGGTAGGCCAACATCCGCCCCGCCCCGCCCCATTGACATCCCTAATTTTAAGGGAGCATGTATGGTGCATCGTCGTTTACTTGAGACATCTAAAGGTCCACATGAATTTTTAGCTCAAATGGTGTTACCTATGTTGGAAAAAATTGACAAATATTAGTCCGAGTTTAACATATATCTAGCTTGTGCAGCAATTCTTGACTCAAGGTTTAAGTTAAAGTTTGTAGAGTATTGTTTTGACAAGATATATAGTTCAGATGAGGCTATGTATAAAGTTGAAAAAGTGTTGAACACGTTAAGATCTTTGTATAATGAATATAAGTCAACATTTTCAACTTCCCCAATTGTTGCGACCTCTACTACAAGTAGTAGGATTGAAGATGAAAACTTCTTTGATGATTATCAAAGCTGTAGTTCAAGAATTACAAGGACTCAAACAAAAAAGTCTCAACTTGAGCCATATTTGGAGGAATCGGAACTTGATTTGAACATGGAGCTAGATATTCTAGAGTATTGGCAACAAAATGTAGTGAGATTTCCAGAGCTTGCAATATTGGCACGAGATCTTCTAACGATTCCGGTTAGTAAGGTGGCATCCGAGTATAAAATACTTAGGGGCCGTTTGGTTCGCGCAGGGGAATCGGAATGGAATGAACAAAGGGAATGAAAGAGAATGGAATGAAAATCCATTCCATGTAGTGTGTGGTTTGTTTTAAAAATATAAAGGGAATCACCCCACCACAACACCACCACCAACACCACCACAGCGATGGCCGGGGGAAAAGCGGTGAGGTGGCTGGGTGGTGGTTGTGCGGTGGGGGTAGGTAGAAGGGTGGTGGATGGTGTAGGCATGGTGGTGTAATGCTGGCTAAGGAAAGGGAATGGAAAAGGCTAGGGGGGTGGGGAATGAATTTAGAGGGATTTGGGGGAATAAAGGGGGTAAAGGGGAATGGAAAAGTGGCCTAACAAACAACAACAAATGGAATGATTCCCGTTGATTCCCATTCCCTTTGTTAAATACCCCCAACCAAACGGCCCCTTAATCCTCTCTACAAACAAGTAAACGCATAAAAAAAAAATCCAAATTTTATACAATACTTAATGCTCAGACAAAACATTTCTCCAAGTATTTATTTTAATGCAAAATCACTAATAATATCGTTATTATACAATAAAATAACGAACCTAAAATTATAGAAACTCGGAATGTTAGCCATCAAAGATGCGGAGGGTCAGCCTCAAATTTGAAGATCAAAACAATTTTGCAGCATAGCAACACCACATAGTGGAATAATTAATTATGAATATAAAAGAGATTTTCAAAAATTTAGAAAATCAAATTTCGAAAAAATAATGAAGTTGTAGAAAGGAAAATTTATTTTTAATAAGTTTTACCAACAACAAAATAAATAAAAAATCGGCCAATGAAAATTAAGTATAAGATTACTTTTTGACACCAAAGTTTTGTTAATTGTTAGGAGATAAATAAAGTACGTAAATAAGGAGATAATATCATAAAAATATAAGATATTATTTTCAGAATCTCGTAGAATATTTATAACTATCTTGTTTACTACTCTGCGACACTGGGTCGTTTTAAGGGTTTAACCAGGCTTGGATGGAATAAGTCTCAAAGACCTCATCTCCTCCTTATATAGTATGGAATAAGCCAACAATAGAGTTATAACCCACAAATTATCAATAAAAATATTGTTTTCGTATATTCTGTTGCCTATTTATTTATATATTGCAAGGTTGAATTTTTATAGTTTAGTAGAATTTTCACTTAAAATAAGCTAACAAAATTTATAAAAAATTTGAAAGATAACCATATGTACCAATTACCACATCAAACAACAAGAAGTCAAGAACTAATAGACAACCCAAAATTCAAAAAGGGCGATAAATTATTTTTGTGTTTAGGTGTGTGAAGAATCTGAAGATCGATCGTGATCTAGAAATTGAGAAAATCGTTATACGTAGTATTTATTTTAAAAAGCTTGTTTTACAGTACAACAAATTAACAATCATTTAGCATTGATTTAGCTCTATAAAATGTGGTAGTAGTTTAATTGTGGGGTAGAGTTGGTATAGAGCATATTCTAAGAGTAGAAAAACTATAACCAAGGTCGGTCTTTTCAAGTTGGAACCTTCTTTGTCTTGCAAGTTGGTTCCATATTGGCATATTGTGGTGGATATGATGTTTCTTAGCTATCTACATTTGTTTTCATATGATTGTGAGTCAACGTCTTCTTCCAGCCAATGGAAACTTTTGTAATTTTCTTTTTCACCAGGGCTCCTTAGCCAATCCCCTATGAGAATTCATTATTTAATAATCGCAATAACTTATTCTCTTATACTTTTCAATGCGTAACTTCATTTGATCATTACTATTACAGTTATTTTTGTATAAGTATTTTTATGCCTTTGTAAGTTTGTATAGAAAGTGAAGTTCGGATTCAAAGATTGCTCTATATAATTTTTTAATGTTAATTTTCTTTAGTTAAGAATCATTTTATGTACAATTACTAAGCATGAGCTATGTATGTGGAACGTGACAAATTGGTACAATGGTACCTACTATTATTGCTTATCATAAGCCGGTTGTTACTTGTTAACCATCAATCATTGAAAAAGATAATTCAAAATGGAAGATACAAATCATACAATACCTTGATTTCGTAACATTCTTTGTTTTATATTCCCCGGATCCAAATAACTATAGTACTATTTTACCAACCCATGACAAAGAAAATTATTTTTGACACCACATTTTTTGTCACTTCTTTCCTTAAATAAACATATTACATCCATCCTCATTGGATCTTAACTCTTGCTTCCTTTGATCTTATAGTTCAACCCGCCCATTTTGGTGATACACGTTTGTCAACGCATTACTTTGATCATAATTATTTTTAGATTGCATGTATATATATAATTAGTTAAAAAAAATGTAAGAGTTGAATATAACGGAGTACATACACCGTGATAAACTACTCATTGAATTGTAATAAGTCAATGCAAAAAGACCTAATATAATTATGTTGTGTTTTATATACTGAAATCAACTTAGAATGTTCTTTCATCTTATGATGAGTAGTGCTAAGATTTCAAGTTGAATGGAAAATTAAAAAGAAATAGAGATTACTATTTTGACAAAATTTAGAATATGGAAGAGACTAGATATTATTGACTGGGTGAAAAAAAATGGTGAAAGTTAAGAGAGCCACAAGGGTGGGGGGTGAGAATCGATTCCAATATCTCCTGGAATCGGGAGGGAAGCTCTAACCACTTGAGCTATCCTCACTCTTAAAATGTGTAATTATTATAATGTAAGAGAATAAAAGGATAAACTGTATTTGCCAAAAATAGCACGAAAATGTGAGGGGAGTAAGAATAATGTAGATAAATTAGAGGAAAGTATATGAAAAGTGTAATTATTGTAATGTAAGCTAAGAGAGTAGATGGATAACTCTATCTGTCAAAAATAACATGAAGCAAAGTGTTCAAACTTTTATATAAAGATCAAAACAAATGAAAAAAAGTTAAAATCATTGAGATATATGCATGGAAATAATCAAATATGTAGTAGATGCATATTTCAAAAAAAAAAAAGGATATATACTCAAATTATTGATTTATCTTATGCAATTAGCACCTTAAATTATTAGTATTAATTAAGAAATAGTACAAGTACTACGTATATATAATGGTACAATAGTTGCAACCTACTAATATGACACCAATCCTAAATGTTAATGGTGACATGAAATAATATTACCCATGTTCCTACCTACCATTATTATCATTAGTTAATAATTAAGAAGTAAACGAAAGTCCACCATTTAACACTAGTTATAGTAAAATAAAGTTTTCTTCGGGTCATTAAAACAGCCATTACACGGCATTTATATGCGTCAACGTACGTACTCGCCTTCATTATCAACTCCAAACCTCTCTCTATCTATATTTATGCTTTGATGTGAACTTTATTTTTTCCCTAACAAAATAAATAGTATTCATCACTTTGCTTAGCTTCTTAGAAAAACTCTCCTCCCTTACCATCACCACTAGTCCACCACAACGTAACTATCGATACGTTCGATACACTAACAATCAAGCTAAGCCACCGCAATGTCAGTTAAAAACTGCGGCCACCACAAGGACAAGAAGAAGATCCTCCTAAAGCGAATATTCGCCGGAGTTTTAATCTTCGTCTTTGTAGTCCTCCTCATAGTCCTTATCATATGGGCCGTCCTTAAGCCCTCTAAGCCAAGTTTTATCCTCCAAGATGCAACCCTTTACAACTTTAACCTAACAAGCCCGGCACAGCTCACATCCATCTTTCAGGTGACCGTACAATCCAAAAACCCGAATGACAATATTGGAATCTACTACGACAAGTTGATCTCCTACGCCACGTACCATGATCAACAAATCAGTCTACCAACATCGATTCCGTCTACGTATCAAGATACAAGAGGGATGAATATATGGTCACCTTTTCTACAAGGTCAGTCCGTACCAATTGCTCCCTACATAGGAGCTCAAATCAATAACGAGCTTGAAATGGGAAGTGTTCAACTCATTATCAAATTGGATGGACGGGTAAGATTTAGAGTTGGGTCTTTCATTAGTGGATCCTATCGCATCCACGTCAACTGCCCGGCGGTTATTCCGATGAATAATCCCGGTACCGGAATTATGGTAGGGCGTACCGCCATCAAATACCAGCTTATCCAAGGTTGTAGCGTTAGTGTGTGAACAATTATTATATTCATCACATGAAGTATTATTATTTCTCCTTGTTATTAGTTATTATTATATTCTCTCTTTTTATTTATTTTCTCTCATAAAATTGTAAATTTTTGTTATTTACCATGAATAAGGTTAAAAAAAAAAAAAAAAAGTTAGATTGATTTGCAATTAAATGGGAAATTATGGAAGTTATAAAAAATGTATTATTTTTCTTATTCATATATAATTAGTGGATAAATATTTTTTATCAAAGGGCTAAGAGTGAAAAAGAGAAAAAGTACGTAGTGCATGGAATTTAGTGGAGGTGTTAGGTTGTTTTTGGGGGATAATAATAATAACTTATTTCAAAATTAAAAAGTAGTCAAATTGGTTACGTTTTGTATCATTAATTTCAAATATTAATGTTGGCCTTTTTGAATTATTGCACTAGCATATAATGTTATGTTGAATTGTATTAATGAAAAAAGAAGAATGATGAAAGCGAGTGGAAACTAATGGCTTACCGTCTATCCACCACCTCTAAACAAATGGTAGAGGAATTGAAGACAAAATTAGAAAATGAGATGAGATAAACGTTCATTACAATGCCAAGGAAGGTAGGGTCTCATGTAATGTTAGTATACCACGAATATTGTGTATTTGAGAGATGTACTAGGAATATGAGTATTGCTCGAAATAGTTCTTCTAGAGCATGAGATAATTTGTACAAGTAGGATAGACAAATCGACTTTTGGTTAAATTGCTACTAGCTAGTACAGTGTAATTGATAAAGGAGTTATATATTGAAAAAAGAAAGTCGGTGCGTGTAAGTATTTTGAGGTACAATAATTTAATTCCACCTAATTTTAGTTTTCTTGATAAAATCTCATAATGATAAATATAGAGGAAAGGTGCAAAATCTTTCATAAAAAAAAAAAAAAAAAAAAAAGATGCTAAATCAAACTAATTAAACTCTTTTTTTTTTATCCATTCTATTTATTTAAATTAGTTTGTTTATGTACACTTTATCGGTTTGGGTATCAATCAATTAAGTGCTCTGTTGAACACCTACAAATAATACTGTACGACGTACTATGTAAGACACAAGTAATAAAGTTAGTTTTAATTTGCTATCTGATGAATTGATCAAAATAAATCACGCAATAGATACAATAAAATATATATATATATATATATATATATATATATATATATATATATATATATATATATATATATATATATATATATATATATATATATATTTATATATATTTGAAAATTAAGCAACATATTATTAATTCATTAAACCATTCAAAAAAAAATATTAATTCATTAAAAACTCCTTACTTTATGTAATATATTTAACCTTTACGTAGATCACAAAACGTCACATATAATATAAAAATGATTATGAAGTGACCCGTAAACAATGGAATTCAAAGAATATGCACTTTCAATTTTCATTCATATATTCAGATTTTTGGACGAAAAAAAAAAAAAAAATTCACATCCATACATATTAAGAGGGAGTAATGGAGAAGAAAGGGTGAATATTTTCACTATGAAATTTCCAAGGTGGACCCCGCAATAGAAGCCATGTGGTTTAGTATAGCTTTCATATGGTTAGCGTTTACTTGTATACTAACTTAATTAACAAAATAATGTACTGTATATGATCTCGATTGTATTTCAGAATTGGCAGGATTATGTATAATTATTGGAAGGTTCTTTGATTTTTATATAATTGTATAATTATAATATAAGGTTAGTAGGAGAATAATGTGAAGGTCCAAACAAAATTAAGCGTTGGATTAATCACTTATACTATGCCTAGTTATTCGTTAGTTGCCCATCATTTGGGTGGTCCATAATCTAACAATTGGCAATTACTAATTAATTAAAGAAAATTTGTCTAGAAGGGACATATATGTTCACTATTTTGTTTGGAAGGACCTTATAAGTTTATTTTGTTGTTTAGGGGGACCTTGAGGTCGAAATCCGGCAATAATTGACTATATACTCCAGGGTTAACCTCTCACGTGACCTTAAAAAATGAACCCCTTTTCTTTTTTTTCCACGATTTACCTCCAATTCCCCAAATGACACAAATCAAAATAAGGGAATTTGAGGGAAATCGTGGAAAAAAAAAAAGGGTCATTTTTTATGGTCACGTGAGAGGTCAACGTAGGAGAAAAAAGTCAATTATTGCCAAAATCCGACCTCAAGGTCCCCCAAACAACAAAATAAAATTATAAGGTTCTTTTAGACCACTTTAAACATATAAGGTCCTTTCAGACAAAATAGTGAACATACATGTAGGGCTGAGCAAAATTATCCGAAAATCCGAACCGTAACCGAACCGAAAATTAGGGTATCCGTTTCGATAACAACAACGGTTCGGTTACCCGATCCGATAATTTGTTATCGGGTACGGTTATTGGGTATCATATTAAAATTAACGGTTACCCAATCCGTTCCGATAAGCAATTTTTTCTTTTTTTTCCTATTTAAATATATTTATCCAAAATCTAAACTCTTACTTTACTTCATAATCACTTCATAATTTAAATGATTAGTAATTATTAGTAATTTGGTCATGATCACGGGGTATTATTGTTGATTAGTGTTGAATGATATCATAATAACTATATTATAAAGTCTAAATTTTTATTATTGGATATCATATTGGGTACCCGATAACCGAACTGAAAATCCGGGTACCCGAAGTTCGGGTACCCGAACTTATTGGTTCGGGTAATGAATATCATTTTTAGTGTTATTGGTTATTGGGTACCCGAACCAATAGTGTTAATGGTACGGGTACCCGTCCTATGCTCATCCCTACATACATGTCCTTTCCAGACAAATTTTCCATTAATTAATTAGCAACTTACAATTTACAAATTTGTGAAGTATATCAAGTTTCAAGCCCAAGCAGTCTCGGATAGCAACAGAGCTAGAAGGGAGATCAAGCAAATTGTGGAGGAAATAAAACAATGTGCTGTTTCCTTCAAAAGTTTTGTAATCAGGAAAGTAAGTAGAAGTAGAGTCTTTGAAGCCCATAAACTTGCAGTTGCAGCAAGAAAGGGCATGTAATTCTTTTCCTGTTTCCTTGATTGTCCAAAAAAGAAAAAAAGTCCAAGTCCAGGTTTTATTTTCTTATTTTTGTTCTTTTTTTATATATGATAGTGCTAAGTCAAGTTTGTTGTTATTTATTTTTTTTTCTTTTTTTTTTTTATTTTTTTTTTTTTCCGTAAAGATCCTAAATGTACATTTATAGTGGTTTTAAGTTGTAATTCTATAGGAATGTTTTGTTCTCCAAGTCAATGCTAAATGTCGTAGTTGGGATTTGATATCTTCGAAGCTGGGCTGGTGATATCATGATCCTGAGCTCATTGGGCCGGAATTTAAAACTATATGACTATATCCACTATTGTTGTTACGAACTATGGGGTACCAAGTAATCTGGCAAAGGCAAAGGACAATATTCAATTCCCACCAATTGGCTATTGGTACAGTGGTGATTGGGGTTGCACTTGTTAAGTTATTAGGGTGCACTACAAGAAAACAGCTCATTTTCGACGGAAAAATTCCGTCAGAACTGGTTGTCGGAAGACGTGTTGTCGGAAAAACGACCTTTTTCGGCGGAATTTCCTTCGGAACAGTTTTTCCGACGGCACATCCGATGAAATTTTTTCGTCGGAAGCGGTTTTCTGGCACCTGAAAAGTTTGTCGGTAAATGCTGAAAAAAAATAAAAAAAAAAAGCCCCACCCCTAAACCGTACCCCACCCAGATCCACCACACCAGTCCCGTAACCCACCCAGACCTGGCCAGAACCACCACCAAAACCCCGTAACCCACCCAGATCCACCACCAAGACCCCGTAACCCACCTAGATCCACCACCAAATTAAAACCCATAACCCCAACTTCCCACCACCGATACCACCAAAAATTAATTAACCCCCACTTCCCAAACCACCACCAACACCAACCCTAAACCCCTATCCCACCTTCACACACCACCACCGACACCACCACACCAAAAACTCAAAAAACCGAAAATTAACCCCAAAAAACAAATATTAGCCCAAAAATAAGAAAATTAACACACCAAAATCGAAAAATACCACAAAAAAAAAAATCAAAACCAGTACATCTACATATTTAATCAGAATTTCATTCAAAATTAAAAAAAATAAAAAAAAACGATTATTAAACAACAAAAATTAAAGGAAATATATAAGTATACAATTATCTAATAAAATTTATAAATTAACATTACAATTACATAAAAAATTAACTATATATACAATCTAACCTAAATTAAAACTAGATCTACAAAACAAAAACCTTCAGTGGGGGGCTCGCCGTTGTTGTTGCGCCGTTGTTGTTGGTTGTTGATGTTGGTGGTTGTTGGAATTGGCGGTGGTGGTTGATCGATGTAGTGTCGTTGTTGTTGTTGATGGAAAGGAGGACGGAGAAAGAGAAGAGGAGGATGGAGAGAGAGAAGATCGAGAAAGAAGAAAAGAGAAAGAGGAGGGAGAATGAAGGAGAAGAAGATCGGAGGAGGAGTGAAGGAGAAATCCAGAAGATGAAGAGGAAAGAGAAGAGAAGAGGAGAGGAGAGAGAAAGAGAAGGAGAAAGGGGAAAGAGAGTGGCGGAAATGAGGGGGGGTTGGGTTTTTTTAGGGTTTTTTTTTTTTTTTTTTTTAAATAAGATTTCGACGGAATTTTCCGTTGGAAAATTCCTACATAATATTTTTCCGTCGGAAATGACCTTTTCCGACGGAATATTCCGTCTAAAAACGCATATATTTCGACGGAATTTTCCGACGGATTTCCTACGGAATAAAAATCCGTCAGAATTTCTGATTTTTCCGACATAAATACGTGTCCGTCGGAAACTGTCTGTCAGAAATCTGCCTATTTCTAGTAGTGGTGGATCGTGTGTTCGATCCTCTGTAACAACAATTGGGAGGGAATGAAACCTAATCACCCATAATAATTGAGCTCTAAACCCGGATTAGCCCAAAGGGTGAACTGGGCGTAACAAAAAAAAAAAAAAAAAAAAACAAAAACAAAAAACAAAAAAACTCCCTCTAGGTAAAATCGTAAATGCGCACATTAATTGCCCTAGTTTATTAAAATAAATAAAAAAAAATAGTCATATACAACCAGCAAAAATATTCACTTTGCGGGTTATAAACTTTTAGGTCTATTTTATGAAATTCGAACTCTTTATATATTACGTAAAAAGTAAATACTTAAATCAACATTTCGGACATGCCTGGACCACACGCTAGTATTAAACTTAAAGCAATGTATATACAAAGTATAACAAAAATTGAGCTATCCAATCATATTAACACGACATGGCTGATAGTTGTTCCAAAAGAAAGAGACACCTAAGTAATGAAATGACACTTTCGTCAAACAAGGAGCATCAATTAGGATCCTTTCACCGGAATATATATGCATTATAGTCAAGTCTTGGAGTGTGGCAGAATAAATGCAAGCGTCGCCTCCTTGAAAAACACAGCCATTGAGTGTTACTACTTATAGCGATGAGCAACCGGAAAAAAACCTTTCAACAGTATCTCCATTAGGAAATTTAATACGATTGAGATGAAGAACTTTGAGGCAAGGCGACCATACTGAGTTTGGAACTTCAAGTTCGAAAATACCACTAATTTCCAATACCACCAATGTTCTAGATTTGAAGAAGATATATTGAAAACTCGTTCTTTTAAAGTGTACATGACCAAGGTTAAGATAGAAATGTTGAACTTCCTTCAGTATTGCAGCACTGATCCATACATCGAGGTCTGAACTTTCATAGGTGTTCTGATGACACTTCAAACTGAATTTTTCTATAGGTGATTTTTGGTGCAATGCCAAGACAAGGTATACAAACCTCTTAAAGCTTTCTTTTCGAGCTTTTCGTTCCTCTTCAGTTATTGCATTACTAGCTATTGCAGACGAGTCTTCAAAATAAAGATTGGTGGTTGACCAAAAAATATACTTCCATCAAGTTGATAATATGCTCGTACCAACTGCACACTTTGTAGGAAGAAATGAAAGGATGTGACTGAGTACTTCATCAGGTAAGCCACTAATTCTATCCAATGTCTTTTCTTGATCATACGATTTAATTACAAGTTTACGACAGTCTGTGCTTCGATGACTCATCACTTGGCAGTACTCTTCCTGATACTGAAATCAAGCCAACAAGAAAAGAAAAATACAGCATAATGTAGAAAGAATCAAATATAACCTTCAATAGAGTTTTTTGATTGTTTACAATAACAACTTTCATGGAAAGACTAAATGTCAACAAGAAATTGGCTAAATCAACAAGGAGTCATATTAAGCACAAAGAATTAATAAGGCAAATTATTATTGTACATTTGTACTAATAATTGTTGCAGGGTGACTAAAATTCGACCATAGACAGTAGATCTAATAAGGTAAATGAGATTTTTTTGCAGTGCTACAAAATCAAGTAACATTTTGCAAAATTACCACTGTCCTGTTACAATACTACCACTATATATTATTACTCGAATACTCGAGGAAGAATGTAAAACATTAAGGCACACTATAACAGATAGATCCGAATTTCATACTCGGAAGATCCAACTTAATTATGTATCTAGCTCAACCAAACAAACACTCCGAATTTCATATATCATTATATCAACAAGTAACCTTAAAAATTTCTTCTATAGTCCTTAAGTTCATATCGAACAACGTAAAGCACATCAAATAATTCCTTATTTGTTACATATATATGACGGAATAATAAGAGAGATATACAGATTATAGAAAATCAAAATCAAACAACGTACCAGTATTCAACGAAGAATAAGATCAGAGAGAGTGTACCTTATAATAGAAGTTATAAATATACTCCAAATTTTTATGATATCAATTGTGAAATCTAACTAAACTTAAGCTTAAATGAACGCTTTGTACTAGTAAGCGTAGATATTAGATAGTTACTCAAAAGCCATCGCATTAAAGTGCTTCTCTAATTCTTAACAGTTTCCAAAGCTGATGAGTTGAAAAAATTTACTTAAGTCCCGAGATTATTTTTTGAAAGTTTTGCTCCCTTGCTCTACTCTATAACGGAGTAGATGGACAATTGTCTTTTGGCCTTCCTAACGTTTATTGAATTTTTCAAAATCTTCATTGACTATGAAATTATGCATTATGTAAACAATTTTTTTTTTTTTTTTATCTATCCGCAGTATAACATATACGAAGTATAATTTAACTTAATATTACGAGTAATATTTTAATACTCCTTATACATAGCTCTAAGAATTCTATGTGGTCAATAGGTCATTCCTAAAATTGGAGTATAACTCTCATAATAATTTGGTACTCCAATTTTAGGAACGACCAGAGTTATCTAGTAAAGGGGGGAGGGGGGGTGGTGGTTCAGATGAACAGAGTTATCTTAAAGAACATTGGAGCATTGTGGGCATGAACATCCAGATTGAAGGCGACAACCTCTTAGTCATCAATTTAGATGCATACATTCATAATCTTCTCAAACTTTTGAATGTTAGAGCATTCATCTTCTCTACTAAGAGACATCTCGAGTAGCATAAAGTATAATTCTCACCTCTTTAGGAATTCGTATAATCGAGTAGCACATTAGAAATTCCCCACATGAAGAAGGGTGTCGTAATGTTTTTTTATTTTTTCTTACTTATTAAATGGGTATTGACACGGATACGGGTATGATTAGGATACGAGAAAACGTCTATCTCAAAATAAGGGACACGAGTACGGAATGTTAAAATTCATATCATATATTTTAAAGAAAGAATTTAACCATGTATTTGTCATTCCGTCCTCTTATACTCGTACTATATATGAAAGATACTCATTTTATTTAACAATTACCTTATTTATCTTACCTTACTTAAATTTTCTTATTACAAAAAGTTGAACAACTCATATAATAGTAGGATACGGTCCGAGACGTATCGTCGTGTGTCCCACAATTGTCGGTGTCTGACACGGTGTCCGATACAAATACGGCATTTGGATGAAGTGTCCATGTAACCTAGCTGAACATTATTTGCACTTCGTATATGACATATTGCCCACTTATTAATGTATTTGAACATTTTGTACTAGGTATAATAATTATACACATGTGGGTTGTGGACTTGTGGGCCTGTGGCAGTCTATATATACACACGAGTTAGATGAGCTAATTTAAGCACAAGAACAAGATTAGTTTTAGACCTGTAGAGCTCCCCATGACTCCATTACTAATCCTAACAAGATATCAACCTTTAATGGGTATCTTAAACCCCATCACTTGATAAAACTCAAAAGCCAAGCCTTGCTTGGTACTCTCCAGTCTCCATGATTCCAATAGCTTGAGAGCTCTTGAACGGTTGAACCTCAACATTTAGTATCTCACCATCAAGCGACCGTCGCACGCTTTATTGTTTACATGTGTGAACGTATGAATCGATCTAATTAAGAAAACAATCACTCTAGTGTGAAACACAATTTACTAAATTTAGGAGATTTATTTGTTTTATTTTGGGGGGGTGGGTTGAACATTAACCCAATGACTCAATGATATAGCATTAAGTGAGAAATTGTCTCGCTGTTGCCGTAACCAAACAAGATTACTCCAAGGTTGAGTAAATTGAATGATTCAAAGATATTTGTCACATATTAAAAACACAGCATAAATTAAGCAATTATATTAAAATAATAAATAAAAATAAAAGATTAATTTAAAAATTCATAAATCTAGACAGAAACTTCCTAGTCCCATTCATTCTCTCAAGGTTAAGTCATCGTTTTGATTAAGTCAACTATATAGATCACCAATATCCTCTGCTTGATTATTAAGATACCCATTAAAGTACATAGTTTATTCCTCGTAATTCTTTGTTTAAAGAATTTAATTTGATTAAATTACTCCCTTAATTCTCTCTTTATTTAAAAAATTTACTCGGGTTGTTGAACACTAATCATAATTTCGTAATAAAGCTGACAAATTAGCCCCACTAAAAAGCAAAACCATGAAATTAATGAATTATGAACAAGAATTCCGACCGTTACTCACGATATAATAATTAAAAAATTAAAAACATCAATGAATTAAAGCAACAAAATTTCAACACCCAAGAAAATTAATCAAACCAGTAATTAAAATTACGACTTTATATACATGAAAATCAAGTTTATATATCCATAAAATATACGGAGTACTATATTTTTTTTATTCATAATATCCCTAAAACAAATCAAATAATCCCAAAATCAAGATCTAAGAACACAAAATCAACAAAGTTAAAAATAGAAATCAAAGATCATAGCTGCATTTAGTCCTCTCAAATTGCCCAGATTTACCTTCAATAGGAACCTTCAAATCACACTTAATCTTGGGCTTCCAAGTACCAGTTTTAAACAATCCAACTTTAAATCTGACCCTTAAATGCATCTTCAATTGAATTTCATAAACCCCTTCATTGCTCTGTTTATTATAATCAGATTTATCACCACTTCCAAGAACAACAATATGCTGCCCCTTAAAATTCAAAGGCCCAAGATCAGTAGTATTCTTATGACCCTGGTAAAAAACTGGACCATTAACAGTGCTGAATCTTTGTCCAGCGTAAATAGCATTGGCTTCAATGGTGTCGTAGTAAACACCGATTCGGCGATTTGGGTTTCGAACACTGAAATTGACAGCGAGATTGTAATTGAGATTGTCGTTGCTGGTAAAGTTGAAGGTGGTTAGTTTGGCATCTGAGGCGTGGAATTTGACTTCGTGAGGGCGGACAATGAGCCAGAAGAGGAAGATTAGGATTCCGACGATGACGAGGATGGTGCAGATGATGGACCAGATGCAACTCATGACGCAGCCGCAGAGGCAGTCGAAGAGACAGCAGCAGCCTCCGCAGCTTCGGCCGCCTCGCTTACCTGGTCGATTGTAGGAGCGAGGCGGGGGTGGAATTGAGGGGCCGTAGTATGCCCCGTTTAGTTCGGGTTGTTTTTGGTACGACATTGTTTATTAGCACGGGTATACACTAGTATTGCTATCGAACTTGATTTATGTGTGTTTTTTGGGGGTGTTGATGGGAATTAAATGAATTGGGTGGTGTGGTGATGAGAGAGGGGGTGTGTATTTATAGGGGAGTTTGAGGGAGTGGAATGGGTGGACGTTGAGCCGTCAAATAGAGTGGATAGTTTGAAATTAAAGGGAAAGTGAAGAAAATTGGAAGTGTTTAGGTTAACACGGTAAACAAATACGAGTAACGGAGGCGTGAATTCGTGATTATAATGGTTTTACGCGTTGTTGTCGTTTTAGTTTTGCAGGACCGTTATGGGTCGGCCCACTTACTTCATGGAAAGTTACGAGCGTTTTTTTTTTATTGTTAACTATTATTATTAGAGCCCAAAAAAAAAAAAAAAAAAAAATTAAGAAAGAAAGAAAAAATTATCTCAATTTGATAGGTATGGCTCATAAAGTTGATCCGCTTTAAGTTTGATAAAATTCATAGAATGAGATGTAAAAAGTTGACCCTATCTAAATCCATAGTGATTGATAATAAAATCTCATACAACTGATACAAGTATATGATTGCATTATTTGGTTTTTTTTTTTTTAATTATTATTAAACAATAAAGATCTTAACCAGATCTCAACCCTAAGGTATGGTAAGAAAATTCTTACCTTAAATACCTTCATATGGTAGATCTCTAAGATGTGAGGTATATCTTACCAAATGAGTCAATACTATATTGATCATTGTTGTTTCTATTGGATAAATTGTTTAAAAATATAAAAATAGTCCATGTATGAAAATAATAAAGACAGAGAGAATATAATTTGATATAAGAAACTAGTTTTGTGCCCGGGCGATGCCCGAATTGTTGATAAATAAATTTAAATTTTTTTTTGCTTGAATGTTAAATACGATCACATAATCTATTTTATAACGTAGAATATTTAGACATACGCTATCATATCGCTTATTTATATAATAGTTTACATTTTGTAGTTTTGTTTGTAAATAGATACATATTTTATTATTGACTTGAAATTGTTTTTACCGAACTTAAGTTACATTTATTGAACTTAAATAATTTTTTCTAATTAAGACTTATTTTTACTAATTCTCTATTATTTTTTTAAATAAATTAAATATATTATAAATGGATCTTGTATTAAAAAACTTTTTAAAATAAATTTTATGATGGAAATAGACCCAGTTATTGGATATTTATGAAAAGTTAGGATTAATTATATACGGGGAGGTTCCGCTAAAAACAGAGCTTATGGTGAAAACTAAAAACAAGCAATCTTAGCCATTGAATGTTCACTAGATAATCTGATGGTGTGAAACAACCCAGAGGTGACTATATACAAAAATAAGGTAATTATATCAATTTATAATAATTTTGATGACATTTACATCGAGATCACTATATATAGAAATAAGGTAATTATATCAATTTTTACAATATTTAGTTAGAGGTCACTATATACAAAAATAGGGTAATTATATCAATTTTGACCACATTTACATAAAGGTCACTATATACAAAAATAAGGTAACTATATCAATTTTGACCACATTTATACAAAGGTCACTATATATAAAAATAACGAAAGTCACTATATATAAAAATAAGGTAATTATATCAATTTTGACAACATTGACCACATTTATATGTATGCCTATCACTCAAGTAGCTCCACCTCCAGCCGCACAACCAGCTACTGTCGGACCACCCTATAACCAGCAGCTCGCCACCGTACCAAATCTCGTCCGCAGCACCGCTCACCAAACACCAATTCGAGCAGATGCAACTCCTGAACCACACCACGAGCAGCCGCCTAAGCAAACACCATCAATCGTAGCAACAAATAGCAAAAGAATATCAATTGCAAAACCAAGAAATCAAATCTAATGCATAAATAGCAAAATTATAACTATTTTAATGCAAATTAAGTGTTAGCACTACATACCAACAATGATATACAAATTTTAATGCAAGGAAAGCTATAATTTTTCAATAACTTATTTTGATGTCCTACGTAAAACAATAACTATTTTACACAACTCTACCAATTTATTTTGCCGTCTAGCAATGATCCAGCTGATCAATTTTGTAGTTTGAGCATCAATTGTATACCAAGCATCATTGAATAAAACTTTGAAAGAGTATTATGACAACATTGGACTTCAACACATTAGTTGTTCTTAGTTTCCTCATATAATCAGTAATACAATATCTAGCAACTAATCTCATCAGTAAAATTAGTCAACCCACACAAAAATAATTATAGGCTTAGTTTGTCTATTCATTACTGCCTAAAGTAACAGGGCATCATAATAGCTATGTTTTAACAGTACATAATCTACCAAACCTAGGTCTGTTAATCTCTCTCCTCCTATACTCTATGCAATATAAAGATTTCGAGGAATTTTTGGTGCTCTAATATCACTAATTAATAATACTATCCAATTTTACTCAAATCAAGCTAAAATCAAACAAAAATCAAGCTAAAATCACACATAAAAACCCAATTTACACAAATTAAGAAAAAAAATATACAAATGAATCTCAAATAATACCATACAAAAAAATTAAGTTGAATTTGAACATAATTTCCCAAACCTAGGCCTGCTAATCTCTCTCCTCCTCCTATACTCAACAGAACACAAAACCATATGCAAAATACTAGTGTTCACAAACACTTTGATACAAAAGATAAATCCAATTATAAACATGATATCAATTCAAAACAAGCTAGAAACATAATCATATGAGAGAGAAAATCAGATTAACACTCGCACTTGAATTCGGAATCAGAATAAAATCGAGTAACATAAGCGGTTAACAACTAAAACCTGATAAATATTATCTTAAATCGATTAGAATTTTAAAAACCAGCAATTATCCAAGTTCTTAAATCAAAGATGCAAATCAAGCTAAAAATCAAAACCCTAAGTGAGCGAAAATCAAAGTAACAATAATTAACTGCAGTTTACGAAAGCAAGAGAGAAAAATGCTCTAAAAAACATATTTTACAAGCTCGTATCAGCGTTCTTCAACAAAATCATCAGATTCGTACAAATTCTAAGATACAAAAATATACACAAATGTAGATCAAAGAATGCCATATAAAGAAATTAAGTCAAATTTTGACATAATTACACTCTTATGAAACGCGAATAAGCATGAAAAAGCTCAAATAAAGCGTAATTACTGCTACATACAACTCACAATTGAATTCGTGACAAAAGAAAATCGACCAAAAATTACACAAAAAAACCTAATCTACTAAAATCAAGCAAAATCACACAAATGCAGCTCACAACTACACCACAAAACTGGTTCAAATCAAAACTCAAGAAAATCTAATCGAAAAATCAGTTTGATTTCCAAAAAAAAAAACAATAGAATATACCAAATTAAACAAAATCATAAACTAAAAACTCACTTTTTTGAAGCTAACGACGAAATTGATGAAGATTGAAACAAATTCTAATGGCGATTTTGATGAAATTGAAGCAAATTCTTCTGTGTTTTGTAATTCACTTTTTTGGGAGAAGGAGAAAGAAAGAGTGAGATGGAGAACGTGAGAAGGAGGAGAGAGAAAAAAATAGAGTAAATAATAGAGGAGAGAGAAAGGATTATCAAATATCAAGAAACAAAACCCAGCTTAAGATTATCAGATATCACGCAGATATAATCTCATCCGTCGATTAAAATTCAATGGTCTAGATTATCTGTTTTTAGTTTTCACCTTTAGACTTGTTTTTACATGATCCATTCCCTAATTATATATATATATATATATATATATATATATATATATATATATATATATCGATAATAAAACTCTATACAACATTTTTATCTTAAAAAATTATCCAAAATTCGCTTACTTAGCATCAAATGTGCCACAATAATATCTATTTATCGCCTACGTGGCGCGACACTTGGCGGAAAACTTGAATGCTAAGTGTTGATGTCTCGAGGCCTGGCTGTGAGACCGGCTTTATTTATTAGTGACTAGTTTTGTGCCGGGGTGATGCCCTGATTGTTGATAAAATTTTAGGATAAACTTTTGGCTTAAATGTTAAATATGGGCATATAATCCCTTTTGAAAATGCAAGATATTTAGACATACAATATTATATAATAGTTTAATTTTTGTAGCTTTGTTTGTAATGTTATTATTAACTTGAAATTATTGTTATTGAACTTAAATTATTTTTACTGAACTGAAAGTATTTTTACCAAACCAAAATTGTTTTTTTTTATTAAAACTTATTTTTTTTACTGATTTTCTATTATTTTTTTAACTAAATTAAATATATTATAAATAGATCTTGTTTTAAACAACTTTTTGAAAGGAATTTTATGATGGAAATAAAACTGAGTTATACGATATTTATTAAAAGTTATGATTAATTTTGTATATATGAATATTAGAAGTATAGTGATAATAAAACTCTATACAACATTTTTTATCTTAAAAAAATTTATCCAAGAATCGCTTACTTAGCAACATTTGTGTCACAATAATACATATTTGTCGCCTACGTGGCGTGACACTTGGCGAAAAACTGGAATGCCAAGTGTCGCTGTCTCGTGGCCTGGCTGCGAGACCGGCTATATTTATTAGTGACTAGGTTAGAACCCGTGCGATGCACGGTTTATATAAAACCTATTTTTATAATTTTTACATTAAAAAAAATGGTTATTAGAGTATTAGACATGAATATAAATAAGAATTATGCACCTTATACAAAAATATTTGTAATTTTAAAATTTAGATTTTCATCAAAATTATGATATAGTATTTGTTTGACGTCGCCTAATATACGTATTTCAATGTAGGAGGTTATTTATTAGTGTGCTACTATTTAATTTTTTGTGCCCAGGTGATGCACAGATGATTAATAAAATTTTAGGATAAACCTTTTGACTTGAATGTTATATATGATCATATTATTCCTTTTGATAATCCAAGATATTTAGACATAAGATATCATATTTCTTATTTATATAATAGTGTACTTTATGTAGTTTTGCTTGTAAATAGATATCTATGTTATTATTGACTTGAAATTATTTTTATTGACCTTACATTTTTTTTACTGAACTGAAAGTATTTTTACCAAACTAAAACTATTTTTTCTGATTTTTTATTATTTTTTAAATAAATT